TGTTGAAATTTAAGTTTTTATTACTTGTGTTCACTTTTATTGTTTCTACTAGCAAACTATATTATTCTTAATATTTAATCACTATGTTTATGCATAATGTTTCAATCTGTTTAACACATAGCAATTAAATAATATTTTGTAAACTACAATTTATATTTTTAAATTAATCTTCAGTTTGTTAAGTAAAATTCTCATTCACATTTGTCACAGTTGAGCTATTTCATTTTTGATCAGTAATTAGTTATTCAAGGTCATGATGTCGGAGTTTGTTTTCATGTTATGTTATTATTTGAGAAAATAAAACAATATGTATTGAAAAAGAAAAGCAGCCTATATACTTATTTTTCTCAATCAATTATTAATTAGTTCATTCATCCGTATAGTAAATAGTAATATTGTGTTCACATTTTCAAGTATTTCTGTAGAAAATTATTACTTAGATTTCAAACATGTTGTGACTTCTTATTGTGCACAGACACTATTACATATCAAACACATTATCAATATGGCATATCAAACATATGCAAGCATAATATATGTTTTCTATCTGCTTTTAGTAATATAAGTGTTGTCCAGAAAAATCACTGAAGTTTCCTAGTTCTAGTTGCTTTTGTGTCTTTGTTCTCAATAGCAGATAATATCTAGTTTGCCTAAGGGTGTGTTGCAGAATAGCTTACTCAAGTATTAGAAGGGTAAACAACTGCAACATCTTTTGCTGGCTGAGTTAGGATTATCAAATGTTCCAGTAAAATGGGATAATCCCAGTTTTTAGCCTTTTTTTTGTCCTGATCAGAAACAGTAAAAATAATTGTTTGTCTTAGGTTTCTCTGAACCTCATTGTGAGATTGATATGTATGGTTTGTTATTATGCACAGTTCCTTTAAGTTTTACTTTTAAATTGGCCTTACAAAGATAGGTTACATGGTACAGTGTTAACCTAATCTGTTATTGGGCAGCCATAGAAATTGAGCTTTGAATAACTGCCCAGCAGTGAAAAAGAAAACAAAAAGCAATTTTTTTCTTCTTTTTTTTTAACATGGTTTCAAGGCAATTCAGGCGCATTTTTTTGTTATTATTTTAATTAAATAAGCTTTTAGCAAATTCTGTTTGTCTGTGGTTTGAAAACATGATGCAATAAACATAAGATTATTTAGCAAATTGTAAAAAAGTTGTTATTTACTGTTTCATGCTGTATGGAAAAAAAAATGCAATTTTTTTCTGTCTGGAAATCTGGTAAACTTAGGCTGAGTGGATGATGTCTGTATGTTACAGAGGATGAATGCTGTGTGAGAATGACCACTAATGTGGTGCTGCTTTCACAAGAGAAAGTATATGAACTTTCTTCTAAAATCAAAGCATTTATTCCTTATCAGATCTAATTTTGTGATCCTAATATATAGCTTGACAGAACTCAGTCTCCAGAAAAGCTCCCAACTGACATGCTAGATCTCAAGAAATGATTATGCGAGTTTCTGTGGAAGTATGCACTCTGTGTTACATTTTAGGTTATAGATAAATAAAGATTGTGTTAATTTTTCAACAAACTTGTCTGGTCAAGTTTAGAGATACAGATTACTCCTCAGATTCTGTCTTCAATTTTGCCTTTCAAGCAAACTTATCTAATACTCATGCAGAAAAATGTTTTAACTGAGAATACCACACTACCAGGTTAAGATATAAAAAAAAATTACAAATCGGTTAATTAAAATACAAGTTTTTATAAATTTCAGAAATTAATAATTAATAAATTAGTTACTGGCCAGGACTGAATATCTAAAACTCAAACACAGTATTATTTGAAGAAAAAAAAACAGCAGTGTTGTCAGTACACAATGTAACTTTAACAGTGATTAGGGAAAAAAATGAACCAGAAGGAAAAACAATTTAATTCATAAGATTACACCAAAAAATAATATTAAACAATTTGTAATAAAACATCAAATCACAAACAATAATCAGTTGAATATTTGAAATAATCCTTTGTCTCTTTTAATAATCAACAAATATATCTTATGTATCACACAGTCTAATTTGTTTCATCACTCTTGCTTAAATTTAGAGCAGATACTTTTACTTCCTTGCCAAACCACAAGATTACTTATCACGTGACTAACAAATTAGCATTTGTTTCACATAATCATACATTAAATTTATATTCATATGTCACCACTAGGGTAATCATGTGTTGGTTTTTTGATATAACTGACTCTTCATATTTAATATACACTAGGAGACAGGTGAGCCAGCATTTTAAAGAGAAATATAAATATATTGGAATGGAATAATAGAAACAAAATTACATAAATAATAAAAAAATACCTAAATTAACTAAAAGTATAAATTCATGCCTTATAGTATATATAGTGCACTAGGATGTGAAATTCATGTTGCCCGATGCCCCACTTCTTCTGTTGATAGAGAAATGCTTTAAGTAGATTTCTAGGGTTCACTCAGGTGCCATAAAATTCTAACCTTTAAGTCTAGTACATACACACTCATGTTTAAAAATATGTAGCTCTAAACCTCAAACCTAAACTACATACAGAAATATGTATACATCATTTTAATTCAGAAACCCTTAATCACTCATTAACAAACATGTTTAAATTAATGCAACAATATTATTATATTGTTTTGTCTAACTAGGAGACAGCTTATGTTTGAGTGCCAACTTTAAAAGAGTATATAACATAATAGAAATTATTTGAAAACATTAAACTGTTATATATATATATATATATAGACATACATATAGTTACTAATG